GCCAATTCTTTCAAACCATAAAATCTTCATAAGCCTATATGGGTAAAGGATTAATTGATTGAATTTATTTAAATTACATGTTTTTAATCAAATATGTATAAACTATACCCAAAAACCCGATCAAAAAACTTCGCCTACTTTAATTGAAACGCATTCCCTACATTTCGCAAAAAAACAAAATCTAACTTTGATTTACACAACTATTTAATCACTTCAAATTCAGCAAAAAGAGGTAAGAAAAGAGGTAAGAAATAAAGATAATTGTGACATCACGTATAAATAAATGAAATTGGAACTTCTTTTTATAGGACATTCATAAAAGGAAAATGATAGTCTCTTTTTGAGATAGAGGAAATATAAACATATTCATGCTTATTTTCATTTAAGATGATATTGAGGTGAACTTGCAATAAAATTAGAAAGTTTCACGATAAGGTGATCGATATTAAAATTTAAAACTTGAGAAAATGGTTAAATAAGGTTTTCTACTATTATGAAATCGTCACATAAGGTCATGTACTCAATAAAGTGTCTTATAAATACGTCTACTTTTAAAAAACAATCAAATGAGTCCTAACGACCTGTTTACAACCTCATAACCCCGGTTTTAGCGTACTTCTGACCATCTTTTTAGAATAGATTATACGGCAGACGTCAGATATTTAACTAAGGTCATGTACTCAATAAAGTGTCATATAAATACGTCTACTTTTAAAAAGCAATCAAATGAGTCCTAACGACCTGTTTACAACCTTATAACCCCGGTTTTAGCGTACTTCTGACCATCTTTTTAGAATAGATTATATGGCAGACGTCAGATATTTAACTAAGGTTGGTTAAAATACAAGTAAAAAAATCGACACGTAAGCTAAAATCGGGGTTAAGAGGTTGTTAACGGGTCATTAGGACTTATTCGATTATTTTTTATAAGTAGGCGTATTTATATAACACTTTATTGAGTACATGACCTTATGTAACGATTTCATAATAGTAGAAGGCCTTATTTGACCATTTTCTCTTAAAACTTTCATTTGAACTGATTTCAATTTCTAAATACATCAAACCAAACAAGACCACACATATTGCGCAATTTATACCGTCGGATCGGCCCACCGCGCACGATGTGCCGATCTCAAACGGCGTCATTTTATTGACTGAAAATGAGAGCTTCCATCGATCACAACACCTAGAGGACCTCCATCGCAGCCGCTCCAAGATTGTACATGTAAGCTTTCTCCTTCTTTCTCCTCCTCCTCCACTTCCTCCTCTTTTCTTCTTTATCCGTTAATGAATGAATGAACGCCTGTTGTTCAAGAAGATTTATGCATAACCCTTTTAAAATTGAAAGCAAATTATTTTGATTTGAGTTAGCAGGTCTGCGTATTATTCCAATTCAGATTAATCTGAATTTTTCTATTCTCCTGGATGTTGATTTCACAAGTTACATCTCATTGTTCACAAGTTACATTTGAATAGGCTAAAGTTACATTCACAAATTACATCAGATTTGTTTCCAAGTTACATTTGAATCAAATCAATTTACGTTTCAATGAGTACATTTGAGTGAGCGTAATTTACATTTTAATAAACTTGAAGTTACATATGAATTCTCATGATTTACATTGCATATAACCTTGGGAGCAGAATGCTCACCCTGCACCGCTCCCACGGTATAGCAACTGCACATATTGTGTGTGACCAGACTTAGCCAAATGACATGTCAAGATAAGATTTAAATAAACTCGACCAAACCAAGATACTAGCTAGTGATCTGAAACACACATACTATCATATATTACATGATTATACCAAATTAGATGACTTGAGACTAAACAAGAAATAAGTTAAACAAACCTACTAAAATCATACTAACTCAGACCGAATATGAAAATAAAAAGATAAAGTACAAGCATAAAACAACACAGTGCAAAACAGATTTTCGTATTAAATAGTGTCAAACAAGGTCATAATAATGTATTCTACTGTAAAATTTACCCTTCACTAGAAGAAACGGTTTAGGAAGTCAAATGAGACAAAACGGAGTAATTTATTTCCTTAAATTTATCAACCGAATGGCAAGAACCCAAATAGCCGTGCTAGAGACAATTCCGGCAGCACCGCAGCCGTACTTCACTTGCCTCCAACTTTTCTTCCATGTTCCTATTTTCAAAGTTCTAATCACATCTATAGTGAATTTACATAATTCTATTTAAGTTTTGTCTAGTTTGAAAGACTTAGGGCTGGTTTGCAACAGCTTTAAAAAAACACTTCTCAATTTTTGGTTTTAAAAAGCACTTATTTACCACACACTACCAATTTTTTACTTTTCTCGGCTTTCGTGTCAAAAATGTTTTCCCCTTTTTATACACCAAAAGCACTTATTTTACCAAACACTACCAACTTTTACTTTTCAAAATCATTTTTTTCTCAAACACTATCAACTTTTACAATTAATCACTTTTTCCAAATCACCCCAAAAGTGCTTTTTTTAAGCAGAATCTTTTGCAAACACTCCCTTAAACTACTTCATTCCACTTTTGCACTTAATTTAGATGTAATTCTGCATTCACAATTTACATTAATGCATACACTATGGGAGTGTTTGCAATTGCTTCAACTTTAAAAAAGTGATTTTTTAAAGTGATTTTGGGAAAAGTGATTAATAGTAAAAGTTGGTAGTGTTTGAGAAAAAAGTGATTCTGAAAAAGTAAAAGTTGGTAGTGTTTGGTAAAATAAGTACTTTTTGTGTAATAGAAAAAGTGAGAAGTAGTTTAAAGCACCCTTCTACCTGCTTTCAGCTTTTAGCTTTTAAGTGATTAATTTAAGCAGAAGTTGTCATTTGAAAACACTTTTTTCAACTTTTTTTAAGTCAAAAGCTGAAAAGTGCTTTTTTAAGCAACCACAAACACTCCTTATGTGTCCCTTATCTGCATCATCTCTTTATTTATGGGAAAGTTCCCGAAATAGGACTAAAAAAGTTTGAAATTTCCAAAATAGGACTGTCATGTTTTTATTCCCAAAATAGGACTAATTACTGCCAAGTTTGGAAAATACTGCCATGTTTGAAGTTTGGTACTGCCAAAACATGACAGTAATTAGTCCTGTTTTGGAAATAAAAACATGGAAGTCCTATTTTGGAATTTTCAAACTTTTTTAGTCATATTTCAGGTAATATCTCTTTATTTATCAACATAATACTTCGTATATGCGAAGTATATAAAAACCTTTGTAACAACTTTATTTATGGGGGAAAGTTCCCAAAATGGGACTAAAAAATGACAAAGTGAAATTTGTTAAGTACGATCTCTGACTTAAGTACAATACCTGAATACGCCAATAATAGAGACAATCATAACATGCAAGTCGTCTCCGATTTCTTTATTACCAATTTACCATCACAATTTGGACTAACCCCATATTTGTGGGAGAATAATGTATGTAATGAAGAATGTCAAGATTGAGAACACAAATGCTCTCCGCTCTCCATCGATCGCCAACAATGTAACAAGGTTCAAGCTACGTTTAGATTCATGCATGACGACATTGAAAGGATGAAGAGCCACGTCGGGACTCAACGACCCAATTATGTACACGTCTCGTCATTCACGATAACACTCTCATCATACATATGGATTCATGGGCCGAGCTAGGGGAGGGCCGTCCCTGGCCCTGGCCGGCTGGCCCAGCCCAAATTTTAAAAATGCTTGTATTTTTAGTGTAAAAAATTCCGTGTAAAAAAAATTCCAAAAATATTCTTTGTATCGGCCTAGTCCGGCCCAGTGCCCTAACTCTGTCCCTGTTAATGGATTTGCATGTCGAAAACAAGACGCGAGGTAGAGTGGCGTGTTGAGTAAAAACGTCAACGACAACAATGAAGAATTTAGAAGAGGCCGGTTTTATTAGGAGTTTCGTCGGGCACGTCTAGACCCACTTCTTCCTCATGGGCGAGGATGGGTTGGGGGCAGAGCGGATGTGGCCGGAGAGTGCATTAGGAATCAACTATACAATGAGGAAGAAGATCAGATGGAGTATTCAAAGGAGCTGATGCTTGGAATGGGGAGGGCCTAAAAAGTTTGAAAATCTAATTATGATGGGATCGTACGTCTCTCTTGGTGCAACTAATGACCAACGAGGTGGCTTGGAGGTTGGCTTGTCATTGGGTGTCACAGAAATGGATGCTTTTAACAGGATTTTCTCGAAGAATTTCAATGCTTTAATTTACCTTATAATTAAGTAGAACATAATTAATTAATTAATTTAACGCAATGGTACGTGTAACGTGTTTGATCATAAACTACTCTACATAAACTTATTTTGTGGTGAAGTTAGTCAGGGAAAGGTGGAACTTGTCCCCCCCCTAAATAGTACTACGGGTAATAATAATAATACGAAGTAATAATTGTTTTAGTGTATTAAACTCACATACTTCAATATAAAATGTTATTCACTGATACTACGTAGCTAGCTAGTATGTATTAAGGTCTTAAATTTGATGAAGCTAATTCCATATTTCCATTTCAAAATTAGCCTAAAAAAATAAGAACAAACTACTGAAAAGCCAATTACTTTATCGTACCTGAATACGAAGTACTATATTAAACTACGCGAAAATCTACGGACGACAAAAAAAGAGAGGGAACATTCATATAGCTTAAATTGTTGCTTTTTTTTTTTGCTATATTTTGTGGTATAAATTTGATGATAAAAAAGAAGCATGTGTTGTAATTTCTTACCATCCCATAGATGTCCACCACTCAAGAATGTAACTCCTACGTACAATATATGCTAAAATATTGCGGCCCTCTTTTATTGAAGTATTTATTGTATGAAAAAAACAAGAGAAAAATGTTGAGTTTACGCTGGTTTTATAGGTTTCTTAACCATTGTATTGTGATGGATCACTTTGTTTTTGGGCCTGGGCAGTGTGGCCCATTTATTTTGTGCATCTGGTTTCCCCTTATCTTTTGAACTCTCTTCTGTATTGTTTCATCGGATAGTTATGAAGAACAGGTTTTTCTAGGGTTCTTGTTCTCAATACATCATTCTCTGTTATTCTCTAAAATCATATGGTATCAGAGCCAGGTTGGCTTAGGTACTGAGAGTGAGCTGATTCTTCCACTCCATTCAATGTTCTTCTGCCCTGTTCAAGAAAGATGGACAGCAACAAAGTCATTTCAGTTCCGATTACTCTCAAGGGAGGAAGCAACTACTTGCTGTGGTCTAGACTGGTGAAGACCGCGATTGGAAGACTAAGGCTATGGAGTCACATCACAGATGAGGCTCAGAAAAAACCAATGACCAAAGAAGATGAAGACATGAAAGCAAAGGAGCAAGCTTTAACTGAGTACAAGAGGTGGGTACAGGATGACCTGATGGTGCTATCCGTGCTACAAGGTTCTCTTGAAGTTCCCCTCCTTGAAGCCTACAGCTACTGTGAGACTCCTATACATGTATGGGAGACACTCCAGAAGACGTTTGGTAATGAAAACAACCTTAGCCGAGTGTTTGAGTTGAAAGGAGCTATCAACTCTCTTGCGCAGGATGGTGAAGAGTTCACCAAACATTTGGGAAAGTATAGATCTTTATGGTCTGAATTTGAAAGCCTCAGACCCAACACCATCGATCCAGAGGTCCTTGCTGAAAGGAGAGAACAAGATCAGGTTTTTGGGTTGTTGTTGACCTTGGATCCGTCATACAAGGATGTGATTGCACACCTTCTGAGGTCCTCAAAACTACCAATTATGGAGGAAGTTTGTGCACAACTTAAAAAAGAAGAAGGATCCATGGGTCTTTTTGGCAGGAAAAAGGAGATTGCCATGGCACATAAGGCTGATGAGGTTAATGCTAACCGAGCTATGTACAAAGGGGGAGAAAGGAAGTATGGTGAAAGGTTTTCGGGTGAGTGTGATCATTGTAAGAAACCAGGACACAAGAAGAGCCAATGCTGGATACTTCATCCTCACCTCAAGCCGCCAAAGTTCAACAAAGATAGGGAGGCAAGAGCTTATCTTTCTGCTGAAGCAAGTGGAGCTGGTTCATCCAGAACTAGTTCAAATGCTCAAGTGGGTGAAAGTGAAGGAAGAGCTTTGACCTCACACCACTTGGGAGGGAAGAACATGGAGAGTGAGATGATCAGGAGGTCTGACATTGAATCCCTCATCAAAGCTCTTAAGGAGCATGGTAACCCTCTCAGAAACACCCTTGGATACTCTTATACTGCTCATGGGATGTCTAGTAACTCTACTAGGTTACTTGATTTGCTTGGAAGCTTGTGCATTAGAAATGAATCACCTAGGTCTCATATTGCTCATGAATTAACAGGACCCTTGATCATTGACTCTGGTGCTTCTCATCACATGATTAGTGATGCCAAACTTATTAGAGATATAGAACCTGCTCATGGTCATGTTATGATTGCTAATGGTGATAGAATTCCTATTAAAGGAATTGGGAAATTGAAATTGTTTAATAAGGATTCTAAAGCTTTTTACATGCCTGAGTTTACCTCTAATCTTTTATCTGTTAAGAAGTGCACCACTGATCTACATTGCAATGTTATTTTCAGTCCTAATGATGTGAAATTTCAGGATATTGAAAGCAGTAACTTGATTGGGCGAAGAGTGACCAGTGGAGACCTCTATTTGCTTGAAGACATTGTCCCTAGATCTAGCTCTTGTTACTCTTTTAATTTTGTTTCCTCTTTGAATAAAGATGCTTTGTGGCATGCTAGGCTTGGACATCCTCATGTTAGAGCCTTAGGTTTAATGCTACCTGGTGTCAATTTTAAAAATAATGAATGTGAGGCATGTATTTTGGGAAAGCATTGCAAGACTGTCTTTGAAAGATCTTCTACTGTTTATGAGAAGTGTTTTGACTTAGTTCACTCTGATGTTTGGACTGTTCCTTGTTTATCTAGAGATAACTACAAATATTATGTCACATTCATTGATGAGAAATCTAAGTACACCTGGCTAACTCTCATTAAAACTAAGGATAGGGTGCTTGATGCTTTTAAAAATTTTCAAGATTATGTGACTAACCATTACAATGCCAAGATAAAGATTTTCAGGTCTGATAATGGTGGAGAGTACACAAGTAATGCCTTTGAACAACACCTTCCTCTACATGGGATTTTGCATCAGACAAGCTGCCCCTACACCCCTCAACAGAATGGAGTGGCTGAGAGGAAGAACAGACGTCTAATGGAAGTCGCCAGGTCCATGATGTTCCAAACCAGTGTTCCAAAAAGGTATTGGAGTGATGTTGTTGTGGCTGCGTGCTATCTAATCAATAGGATACCAACAAGGATACTAGATGATCAGTCTCCTTTTGAGGTTCTGAATAAGAACAGACATGTCCTGGATCACTTGAGAGTATTTGGATGTGTTTGCTATGTTATGGTGCCAAGTGAGATGAGGAACAAGCTTGAAGCAAAGAGTACCAAGGCTATGTTCATTGGGTACTCTACAACACAGAAGGGGTATAAGTGCTTTGATCCGGATACTAGCAAAGTATTAGTATCCAGAGAAGTGAAGTTCATGGAAGAAAAGGGATATTATGAAGGACATAATTGGGAAGATCTGGAGGACCTATCTCGACCATCAGATAAAGCTGCTAGTCTGAAGATTATACTTGAAGGACTTGGGATTGGAATGTCCCAAGATCAGAGAAGGCATCCTCCACCTAGTATACATACAACTGAAGAACCAACACACTTTGATCATGAGGGAGGAGAAGAACCTGAGGCTGGAGGTCAAGAAGATCAAAGCTTAATCAACATTGAACCTGATCAAAGTAGGGATAAAGAAGTTGCTACTGAATCTATTGAGGAACCAGAACAAGTTGAACCTGAATCGATTGTGGAATCAGGAAGTTCTGAACCTGAACCACCTGAACCGATTGTTCCCTTGAGAAGAAGCACACGGGTAAGGAATCCTTCCAAGTGGGTGAACACGAGAGTGTACTACAATGCTCAGGCTGTGGAAGATCCCTCTCAAGTTGTATGCTCTTTTGCTAAGTATCCTAAAGATCATTGTACTTTTATGATAAGCTTAGACGAGAACTGGGTTCCGCGGTCTTATGAAGAGGCTATGATGCATGAGGAGTGGAGAGAGTCTGTTAGAGATGAAGCTAATGCTATGATAAAGAATGACACTTGGTATGAGAGTGAATTACCAGAAGGGAAGAAGGCAGTGACGAGTAGATGTATATTCACCATCAAATACTTATCTAATGGAAAGGTGGATAGATGCAAGGCAAGACTTGTGGCAAGAGGATATACCCAGACATATGGAGAGGACTACATTGACACATTTGCTCCTGTTGCCAAGTTACACACAATCAGAATTGTATTACCTCTTGCTGTGAATCTTGAGTGGGAACTTTGGCAGATGGATGTGAAGAATGCTTTCCTTCAAGGTGAACTAGAATATGAAGTATATATGCATCCCCCACCAGGTTTAGAAAGTCTAGTGAAGCCATGAAATGTCTTGAGACTAAGGAAAGCCATCTATGGCCTAAAGCAATCTCCCAGAACTTGGTACAACAAATTGAGCACAACTTTGAATGGGCGGGGTTTCAGGAAGTCTGAGTTAGATCACACTCTCTTCACTCTCACTGCTCCCTCAGGTATTATTTGTCTACTTGTTTATGTTGATGATATCATCATAACAGGTAATGATAAAGCTGGTATACAAGCCACTAAAGATTTTCTAAAAACTGTGTTTGAGATTAAAGACCTAGGAAAAATGAAATACTTTCTTGGAATTGAATTGTGTAGATCCAAGGAAGGTTTGTTCATTTCTCAAAGGAAATATACACTTGATCTTTTGAAAGATGCAGGCGGTCTTGGTGACAGGACTGCTAAGATGCCGCTTGAGGATGGATACAAGGTTCCACGTGAGGGGGAGATTGAAAACAGCAAGCCTTTCCATGACCCACAGCTTTATAGAAAGCTAGTAGGTATGCTTATCTACTTAACTATCACACGTCCTGATATTTGTTTTGCTGTGAATCAGGTGAGCCAGCATATGCAAGTTCCAAAGGAGTACAACTGGCGAATGGTAGAAAGGATACTTATGTATTTAAATGGCACACCTGGCCTGGGTGTCTGGATGGGATGCAATAGAAGCACGGAAGTGGTTGGATACTATGACGCTGATTGGGCTGGTGATAGGGCAGATAGAAGGTCTATAACTGGCTATTGTACGTTTGTAGGTGGAAATCTTGTGACTTGGAAGAGCAAGAAACAGAAAGTGGTGTCTTGCTCTAGTGCTGAAGCAGAATATAGAGCTATGTTGAAGCTTACAAATGAGTTAGTATGGATCAAAGGGATACTGAAGCACTTGGAGATTAAGCAAGAGACTCCTATGACGATGCATTGTGATAACCAAGCTGCTATACACATTGCTACCAACTCAGTCTTCCATGAGAGGACAAAGCATATTGAGGTTGATTGTCACAAGGTGAGGCAGATGATTGTCTTGGGAGTTATCTTGCCATGCTACACCCGGAGTGAAGACCAGTTGGGGGATGTTTTCACCAAGGCTGCTAGGCAGAAGACTATGGAGTCCATTCACACTAGATTAGGACTCATAGACCTCTCACCAAGAAGGAGCTGATCCCTTAGTCATGAAGTCTTTACTCTTTTTCCCTCATCGAGGTTTTGTCCCAATGGGTTTTCCTTGATGAGGTTTTTAATGAGGAAGATTTCATGGCTTTCCAAGCTTGACTTGTCCCTGTGTGGGTCAAGCTTGAGGGGGAGTGTTGAGTTTACGTTGGTTTTATAGGTTTCTTAACCATTGTATTGTGATGGGTCACTTTGTTTTTGGGCCTGGGCAGTGTGGCCCATTTATTTTGTGCATCTGGTTTCCCCTTATCTTTTGAACTCTCTTCTGTATTGTTTCATCGGATAGTTATGAAGAACAGTTTTTTCTAGGGTTCTTGTTCTCAATACATCATTCTCTGTTATTCTCTAAAATCATAAAAAAACCATCCACAAATTGCTTTATAATGCTACGGATAGCGCACGATATAATAAGGTATGAGTAAATCATGTAAGACTAAGTAATGATAGTTTTTATTTGGACTGATTTCAATCTCAAACAACAACATACTAGAACAGGACAAACTCAACCAAATAGAAGAGACTTAAGCTAATCAGATCTAAGCAAACCAAACCAAACTAGATCAGATAAAGGTTAAAAAATTGCATTTCCACAAGTAAAAAATATCGAATGGAGGAATTAAAAAGGGGGATGCACACACTTTTAAAGCGCTTATAATTAACGTGCTTCCACACGTGAGGCATTACTAAATACTCCCTCCGTATCACTATAAGTGTATTTCTTTTCTTTTTAGGTCGTATCAAAATAAGTGTCTCACTTCTATTTTTGGAAATAAATTCACTCCCAAAGTAGCTAAACTACACTTTAGTAAAGTAAATACGAAGTAGTATTATTACGGTACCAAAAATCTTCTACTTTTTCAAAAAAATGTATAGTAAACTTCTAAATTATCTATAACTACGTGAAAAACTTAATGAGACACTTATTCTAAGGGCATCACCATTGTTTAGATTATTTAGAGTTTAATTGGATGATGTGTAAGATTATTTTAAAAATTATCATTGTGAGTGAGAGATTATTTAGAGAGATTATTGAAAAAGATAATCCGGTATCAGGATTTGAATCCCGGATTATTTTAGGTTGTAGTTAAATATCATTTAAAGCATGGTCTAGAAAAACTAATTATCTGAATATCATGGTTGATGGAGAGTTTTAAGATTTGAGATTATTTAAAATTTTATTTAATAAATATGATGTGTCAATGACGTGTAATAAAAAAACCATTTATTTTAAGATCATGAGTGGAGATGCTCTAATACGCATGGAGTAATTACTACCTCCTTCACTGCCTAAGGTTCCCATTCATATTAGAGTTGTTCTACCGGGGACAATAAATGTACTCATCATAGTAATATACGGAGTACATGATAGTACTACGTAAATAAAAACGTCTCTTTTGCATCATGGGTAACAGGGTACGGACTTCGATAATCACTACAATTAGGGATTTGGATTTTCAAAGTCATAAATGGCAAATCAAAAGCAGTGCTATGGGCATGTAACAACTACATATTGACTAGTTTTTTTGTTAAGCATATAAAGAATGTGATTTAACCGCTCTTTTTACACAAGCAGGTTAATTATTGGTGTGCCTATTGTCTCCTACATATACACCATAAGTATAATTTCTTGAAAGTCATTTAAGAAAGATTATCAAATAGAGAATAAGAATGGAGCATGGAAGACATGATGAAATTCATGAAGATTTGGCTTTGTCCCCTCCCACCATGGGGTCCATGCAAATTGGAGGCAGCAATGGCTTTGGTCATAACATAGACTTCATGCCTCAAGCCTACCTCACAAGCAGAAGCTCAGAAATAGACATAGTTGATGATGTATCACATTCAAATACTAATCATCCTCTTCCCATATATCTCAAGGTAAATATTAATGTCTTGCCTAGACTCTACAATATGTTAGTTGCCCTAATGAAGTACACATCGACCACAGGGGCGGATCCAGAAATCTGATTTTGACTGAACTGAATAGTAAATATACTAGGCCTAAAGCAATAATAGAGTAGGCAAAACGGAGAAAACACAAAAAACATACACATTAAAAATTTAAGAAAAAATTACTATGCACCGGCCTTCGGTGCACCATAGCCATAGTGTACATTCGTCTCGCATTGACACGAGAAGTTTTCATGTAATACAACTCAAATACCGCATTGACATAAATTGGAAGGCAGTTTTAAATATAAGTAACCACCTAGCTCCATTTCTAAGGAAAATATCTTACTGATGTGGATAGCTCCGTGTAGTTTATAGATGTGGAGTACAAGGTGAAGGTCAGACAAGAGTCCTCCACGAACCCCGTTAAGGCAGTGGTGTCAAATGTGGCTTCTCAGCTTAACATTGCGCCAAACAACTATAAGCAGATACTAAAAGGCATCACAGGAAGCATAGGACCTGGGGAAATTCTTGCTCTGATGGGGCCGTCTGGCAGTGGGAAAACAACACTGCTGAAGATATTAGGAGGAAGAATTCATGAAAATGTTAAAGGAACTATAACTTACAATGACATCACATACACTGCTGCTCTTAAAAGGAGGTTAGCAGCTTCTCTACTTTTATAATCTTTTTATGTGGATAGGATTCAGAACTGAATTGAGGTCATAAAAACATAACATAGGCTACATTAAGTTAAAGTGAACTGAATAAACCTAGTAAGCGCCAAGGTTATTAAAATCGTATTTTTGCATCGAATCGGAACAAGGATTTAAAAATCGAATCGTAAAATCGAATCGTAAATCGTAAGATTTTACAAAATATGTATATAAAATAATACAAAATCTTAAATAAAAAGAAATTCAAAATATAACATTATTAGGTCGAACCATTATAAGTTTAAGTTATACAATAATGTCTTAATTAGATGCACAAAATAACTAATAATAACAAAATAATGTTATTAAAACAAAATATGTTATATATTCAAATAAAAAAGTCACGTGAAAATATAAATGATGCTCTAATCAAGTTTCACAACAAATAAATACTCTTTATATGTATGGCCAGACTATATATATATAATTATGTTTCTATTCAAAGTTGTTTGTTTGTTTGACAACAAATAAATAGTTGTTTGTTTGGCGAGATGGTGAAAGTATGGAACATTGTGCATTCAAACAGTATAGGAGGTGGGAGGTTCGAAACCCCCTTGCATATAGTATTTTTACGCGGAATAGTTTTTTAAAAACTTTCTTAGTTCTTCTCATGTCCAAAGTTCTCACGCCGGAATAGCATAGCAAATTCCCCCCTCCCTTATCTATATAACTCGGATCTGGGTAAAAGGAAGCATGCGAGCACTTCAATTTGCTTGCCCGGCCAGAGATACTCGGTTGGACTTGTTGTGCGCCAACTTAAATTTTAAAATCGGAAAAATCGTATATAATCGCGATTTTAAACGATTTTTTGCGATTTCAGTACGATTTTTTACGATTTTTCTGAATTCCGATTTTGCAAGCGATTCAAATCGGTCTGATGTTTATGAATCGTAAAATCGTACGATTCTACGATTTGAATCGCGATTTTAACAACCATGGTAAGCGCAAGTCAGCTTAGGTTAAGTAAAATTGTAGAAACATGCTGAATCCAGATGTATGTACACAAATTATGTTATGATAATTATTAGATTAATCTTGGGGGATGTATTAAAATCATGTTTGGATGGAGATTAATCTGGGTGAGCAAAGAAAAACTATATGTACATAGAAGAACTTATTTTTTGCCATACAATCGTAAACTAACGCGATGAACCAAAACTTAAATTCGGAAGAATTAGGCTCTCCTAAAAAATGGTAACTAAGACATTTGGACTGGACACACTAAAAGATCAAATTTACTTGATCAGCTAGTTCCATACTTACATAGTACTTACATCTGATCGAGATTACTCTAGTCCATCATTTCTACTTTTATAATATGGCAGTGTGAGACTCTTATATCATTGTATATTGAATTGTATGTGTTGGGATTACTAGGGTGGGATTTGTGACACAAGATGATGTGCTTTTCCCACAGCTGACGGTGGAGGAAACCTTGGTGTTTGCTGCATTTTTAAGATTGCCAAGCGAGATGAGTAAACGAGAAAAATATGAAAGGGTGGAGATGATTATTAAGGATTTGGGGCTTGAAAGGTATGTGTGCTTATGGAGAAATATTTCTATAAATTGATATTTATGAGTCTTTTAAGTTTGCAGTTTTAAAATCACAGATGTCGACAAACACGTGTTGGAGGAGGATTTGTCAAAGGCATATCTGGGGGAGAAAGAAAAAGAACAAGCATTGGGTATGAAATTCTTGTTGATCCTTCACTACTATTGCTTGATGAACCAACTTCTGGATTGGACTCATCATCTGCTAATAGACTGCTTCAGAATTTAAAAGGCCTTGCAAAGGTACAAAGTTGTTGACTTGAATAGTATAAATTACTCTAAAGAAGAGTAAAACATGGGTAATATGCACAAATATGAATATTTTTTATATGACTCATAGTCCTAAAAAGGTATACAAGTAGGTGCATTTATTCCTTTAGGGAATTAGGGGTGAATGGGTCATATTTTCAAGAAAGTGATAGCTGTAATTGAGAAACATTTATAGCTTTAGTCATATTAATGAAAATTTTCCTCTATTTTAATATAACATGCATACAAAATTAATAGACTGTTTTTTGTGACAATCAGGGAAGAAGAACTATTATCACAACAATCCACCAGCCTTCAAGTAGGATATATCACATGTTTGATAAAATTTTATTGATATCTGAAGGCTCTCCAGTATATTATGGGAATGCAAGGGAGTCCATGGACTACTTCTCATCTTTGAGATGCATCCCGGAAATAGTGATGAATCCTGCAGAATTCTTGATTGATTTAGCAAATGGACAAGTGAATGATATCAGTATTCCTGAAGAGTTATTAATCCCAACCAATGGCACATCTGAATCTGAGAGACTCATTATCAGAGTGAGCTTTTACTTCTTTTCCATTCAATTGCTAATAATAAAAGGCAAAATTGGAGGTTGCACCTAACTTTTCCTTTCTAATTGGAAGTTGCACCTCATTTTCCCTAACATTAGTATTTGCACCCGGCCCCCGCTATTAGTAAACCTGCTAACAAAGTTTTAAAATGGAGTGTAAACTCCAATTTAGAAGAAAATCAGGTTCAAACTCTGAATCAATGTTTTGTAGTGGAACTCCACAAGATATCAATAGCTTTTAACATAAGATTTTCCTAATAATAGCATGTGGGTCTAAGTTATATGAAAAAAAGGTGCAAATTCAAATTTGGTAGGAAAAGTGAGGTGCAAACTCAATTTTTTCCTACTAGGCGAAGTTCCACCATTTTATATGTTGTGACACATTTTTTCAATATCTGAATATATGTAACTAATATCTGTAACTACTATTAGTATTTACAACACAAGTGCAAAACACAATTGGAACCAAAAGAGAAACAACAAATGCCAAATGCTTCGACACATCTCCAAACAGCCATTCAAGTCAAGAAAGACTGGACATTGCCCTGGTGGGATCAGTTCTTGATACTGTCCAAAAGAACATATAAAGAAAGACGTAGAGATTATTTCGACAAGTTACGCTTGGTTCAGGCACTTGGAGTTGCCATCCTCCTAGGCCTTCTTTGGTGGAAATCTGTTACTACCACTGAGGCTCAGCTTAGAGATCAGGCAATCTCTTACTTTATACTTTCCTGTTCCACCCATTACACTAACTTTTTAAGAGCCACACAACCTCAACTTCCCTCCCTGAACTGCAGATTGGTTTGATATTCTACATTTGTATTTTCTGGACTTCTTCATCTATCTTTGGAGCGGTCTATGTTTTCCCGTTTGAGAAGATATATCTGGTGAAGGAGAGGAAAGCAGACATGTACAGATTAAGTGTGTACTATGTCTGCAGCACTTTGTGTGACATGGTTGCTCATGTCACATACCCTACTTTGTTCATGTCCATTCTTTATTTCATGGTTGGCTTCAAAAGAACGGTCCAGTGCTTTTTCCTCACGTTATCTGCAATCCTCCTGATTGCAGTCACCAGCCAAGTAAGTAGATACTAAAGACGTTTTTTCCTTGCCGTGTTCTCTAATGTGGTCAGGTCTGAGACAATTTTGCGTGTAATATCAAGTGTTTGGTACTGACATAAGCGTGAAGAGAACAAGTCCATGTAACTTCTATTAGCAATTCTACTATTCATATATTGGATATTAAATACTTGCTTAGTAATATCCTTGCAAATATCATATTGTTGTTCACTTTTCAAATCACTTTCCCTTTCCTATGGTGTGGACTAGTGTCTGATGTAAACCCCTATATGGCCATATACTCTATTTATTATTATCATTAACACAATCTAATCAATATAGTTGTTCATTACATTATACATCTTTGACACCTTCAGAATTTTGACAATGCTATGACTTTTCATGTGTTGATTACACTTTTGTTAACTAGGGGGCAGGAGAGTTGTTTGGAGCTACAGTGATGAGCATTAGAAGGGCAGGAACATTAGCTTCTTTAGTATTGTTGTTGTTTCTACTTACAGGAGGCTATTATGTTCAGGTACTACTGAATATGAACTCTGCATAGAGTATAAACTGAAGTCTGTATTCCAGTCACTAATAATAGTATACTTTAACTCCAAACTAATTTTCAAGGTGTATAATTTGTACAGCACATACCAAAATTCATGAGGTGGCTAAAGTATGTGTCATTCATGTACTACGGTTTTAGGCTTCTGTTAAAAGTGCAGTATGACGGGGATGAGTTGTACGAGTGTGGAAGTGAAGGAGGGTGCAAAACTCTACAAAGTTCACCTTCATTTGACACCGTGAATCTCAATGGCGGCCTAAGGGAAGTTTGGGTTCTACTTGCCATGGCTGTTGCTTATAGATTGTGTGCATACTTTTGCCTTCGAAGAAATGTTAATATATGCAGTCTTTGACTCTTGAAGTCTTTGTGTACAGAGCAAAAGCTATTATTGCAATGAGAAAAGACCTGAGTTCCTTTAAGAAAATTATATATATAGACACCACATTTTAGTGGCAACAAAATTGAGCATTACTTTGTTTGAGTGGGACGAAAGAACATAGACTGAAATTTCTCTGATAATTAATAGTTTACACAGTTTCTGGTTGTTGGCCTCTGATTGCCAACAGAGTGAATGGACTGGGAGTGGAACAAATCTCAGTTCCCAGCCCTAACTTGCAATGCTTTTTGTTCTGCGAAATGGTGATTGCCTCACCAGAAACTAGACATGCTATTCTGGTTCATACACAATTACACATATAGGCTGCATTTGTTTTTTGGCGGATGGGAAAAAATGCAATCCCAACACATTGCTTTTTGTAGCGTTTTAGGTTCAACGGATAGCTTCAGTCCTAGCCCTAAACTCCCCACTGCCTAAGATGGTTTGGAAACACAGATACCAATTGGAAATTGAGGCCAACGGTCCACCCTTGCATACCAGAACATTACCACTTACCATTCCCTAGATTCCACTAGGAAAGAATCGACTGCTAACCCAAAAAGGTAATGTCAAGACTTGAAGGAAACTCTCTGAAGCATACTAGACTACTAGAGTACTAGACGCTAGAGAAGAACCAGTTCAAGAACCAAACCAGATCCATACGAGTAAAGAACCGAGTTAGTTGACTGGATTCTTGTTCTTGGTCGAAACTGGCATCCATAACCAGTACAACCATTTTGATCACTCCAATTAAATATTAGGCCAAATTCGAAAGGTTCTAACACTACAACATTATAACCCCTAATGTATCACCCCAAAATTTTACAATATCACTGAAAAGTGTTACATTAGAGAAAATGTTACACTTTTTTACCATTACGTTTGATCATGTTGCATTTGACCTATTGTAACACTTTATAGTCTCTAATGTAACATAGATTATTCTAGAAAATGTTACACTAGGTCTAAAAAGTGTTACATTAGAGAAATATGTAACACTTTTATAGATATGTTACATCTTTAATGTTACGTTATGTCTAAAAATGTAGTAGTGTAATTTTATATTTTCTTTATTTACAAAAATGAACCATTATGAGAACTGTTTTACCCAGAGTCGGGCCAAAGCCAGCCCAAGTCAAACCCTATTAGACGCCTCAATGACAACTTTTTAAACAGATGAAATGTGTTCCCCCAAGAGCACTATAACTGATGTACAAAAAAGTTGTCTATTGTGGGCTGAAACTCAAGAAAAGGGCATTGCGTAAATGTTTATTTAAAGTAATTCTTTTCCCCATTTAGACTACCCCATAATAGTAAACTAGTGATGACATGTCCTTGGCAAGCTCAAATTGCGAATTAATCACATTCATTTAAACAAAGAGGATTGTACAAGCATGGAATCTGTGATATCATTTCATATATTTGTGCAGAAACTTGCGATGGAAGTCATTCCGAATGGTGTCATTGATAAAGCGCTTCTGAGCTTTTGTTTCTCCCCTAGTCTGGTTCTTGAAGACCACATCATCGTCCCACCTAAGTAAAACAACAGATTATATAAATCATAAAAAATTATTTAATTAAAATCAAATCTAAAATAATCTAAGAGCAAGAGAATTGACCTTCTCTTCACATTAAAGGATGTTGGCTGGTTTATGAGAGGATTTCCTCTTAAGAGTTCTGCTTCCTTGGCTTTGAGATCTTCTTCTAGTTGTTTCCGTTCCTGCAAGTAGCACAAACTTCATTACAGCTAAGGAAGAAGGATAAGGTGGCAGTGTTCTTTAATCACCACACTACTCATGGAACCAAATATATAAGGATAAACCAGAGTATGAAGTCTTACATCAATTGATTAAAAAACAAAGACTCGGAAACTTACTTTTCTCATTTTTTCATCTGCCCTTTCTTTTTTTATCTGACCAAGCTCAGCCAAGAGAGCTTCCATGTCATCCTCATCTTCATCTTCATCACTATACAGTGGGCACAATAGATATTTTATAACACCATATTGAAAGTATAAAAAATGTGAAGGATTTTATAACACATCACTATACAGCTGGCTCAGCACTTCTTTTAAATTGTGAGACATGAAGAGAGACATAAAATCATACTCCCTCCGTCCCGTAAACAACTTGTCACTTTCCTTTTTGGGTAGTCCCGAAATTAACTTCACACTTCAAAACTTTCTTTATTTGGCAAATTTTCTATATCAAATTTATTTTCTTAATCTGTGTGAAGTCAAAGTGTGAAGTTAATTGCGGGACGGAGGGAGTATATAACTTGATTGATGAACACTTGATATCACGTACGAGTGTCATTTACAGCTGAATATAGAAAAAAAACATTTTCAAAATAAAATCAATTGGATGTACATGATCAGTGGACATTGGCAAAAGAGAGCATGACAAGGGAGAAATTTTTTGGTGCCGCCAGAATGAGGTTAGCCAACCCAAATCACTCGGTGTTCAGGACAGCATGTCAGGGGGGAAAACTAATGATAACATGACACTTGCCTTTCATCATCACTTTTGGCATCCATATCTGCATCATCAGCATCCGCACTACGTGGAACAATTCGGTCTTCACTCTCTCTTTTAGAACCTGTTTGCATGACATCACCATTTGATGAAACATAATTCAAGGTTCTCAATTATAAAACAAACTCATAAGACAAACAAGTATCACTCGCCTTCTAAAAGAAGATGGCTACTCTTTCGGCGATCCCTGTCCTCTGCAACAAGAAAATCAAGAGTTTAACAGGTCAACTACATCATCTACCTTGACAATAAATGTGTCTTCATTGTGGTGGGTTGGGGTGGAATGTGATGAGAAGGAGAAGATAGGCTCTATAAACCATTGTAGCCCTTGTCCCTTGAAGAGAAGTGCCTTGATTCACGTTGTTCAAGTTCCTCTCTGAGGTTCCTCTTCTGCAATTCATCCTGAGTTTCCTGTCCTTCCTTTCCGCGCAGCAACATAACCAATCAAATTATGAAATTACCAGCTAAATTTATGCATAGTGAAGCCTGCACCACATAGTCCCAATATCGAAAAGTAAAACCAAATCCATGATTTTAACTCTAGGAGATAAAATTATAGCTGCTATTAAATAGGAGTAGATAAAATTGGTAGAACTCTGTTAGAACACAGGATAAAGCACTCAACAATTACAGCTGCATAGACATTTATACCTTTAACCTCCCTCCACCACCACAACTAAAAAAAACACTAAAAAAACATTGAGTTCAAGTAAACAGCTTGGCTTCAAGATTGTATGAGATGCCATGTCTCTAGATGAGTATTTCTGAGAAGGGCCGAAAATCCGAGTCCTTCCTTGCTCACTGCCACCCTTAGCAGGGGCCCAAGTAGGTCTAGCTGCTGTCGTCATGTCGTCTAACTGCAGAAACAAAGGAATTGTAAGAACCCAGGCATAAACATTCTTACTAGGAACAACAAAATCAAAATTAACTGGTTCATAAGGATGAGGGTTTTTTTTTCTTTTTGTACTTCGTATTCAATCAATAACATACACAAAAGTTCAAGTCGGCCGTAGAATAAATGAGAATAAATGAGCTGCCGGAGTTGGACAGATGGTTATGTTTCCGTTTCAAGAAGTAATTATGAGTTTTTCTGTTTTGATGAGCTATGCACTTCTATACAAAACTTAGCAAAATTTTGGACAAAATACTCTGAGAATCTCGGGATAAACTGATAATGGTTGTGGTGCAGTTGAAAGCTCAATATATCCTTATACTCTCACAAATGTGATCTCAGAAATTGCAAAAAAATTAATCCGGATAAGTAATGGTCAGTGTAATAACACTGAGACTGCAATTCAGAAACCCAGGGCAGAAATTTTTTAATTTTTTTAGTGTAACTTTTTTCATTTTTCACAATTAGCCCACCCCGCTGATATTTGAGCTTAGTATAATTCCTATTCAGCCCAGGGCGTCTCAGATTCCTGGGATAATTCTATTGGATCGAGTTTGTTCAATTTCTAAGCATCGTTCTTTTTTCGTAAAGGAACCCAAGTTATTACGACACAGCAGAAACAATAAAGAATACAAAGCAAAGAACAGACAACCAATTTCAGAGGCCAAATCAAATTTTACAACGGCGAAACATCTCTAAAGCTGGGATGAAAGTTATAATCGAAAAAATGTTAAAGAACAAAGATAGAAGGAAAAATTTTGTAATAAAATACATAGTACCGAGAAGATGGGAGGACGCTGGTTCCTATTAACCTGTGCTTGCTGTTCTTCCTGTCATACCTCTTCCGCAATTTATACCGTGCAACCGGCGCACCATGAGGATGGTGCGCCCGGTTGCAAAAGACGCAAGCTTCATTCAAAAAGACGGAGTGCCTTGTTTCTTTTTTTTTTTTTTTTTTTTTTTTGCTTTTGTTGTTAAAAAATGATAATGACTTTTTTATTTTTGCTCCGATTTCTATAAAATTTATATCAATATTTTTTATTTTTCATGATCTTTCAAATGAGACCAATATTACTTATGAAATTTTAAGAAATTATCGAACTATTATATTAATGAGTATTGGATTATAAAGAAAATCGAACTAAATTTAATATAGAAAAATAATTGTGTAAATCACAATTTATCTTAAAATTGTGTATATAAAAAAATTATTGTATTATGTATTTATACATGTGAGTTACATATTTTTATGCGTGAAGTTACATATTTTTACACGTAAAGTTACATATTTCTACATGCAAGTTACATATATATACACATGAGTTGCATATGAATTGCAGGGAGATGATAAGTTTGTGAAATAGAAGATCGAATCTGTTTGGGAGTGGATCAGTGGCCTCAGTTACATTTGATAATTGAGTTACATCTTTTTATGAGCGAGTTACATCTTTTTATAAGCAAGTTACATATATATACACACGAGTTGCATTTGACCTGCCTGAACGCGAGTTACATATATTTACACGTAAAGTTACATATTTATACACGTAGAGTTACATATTTTTACACACGAGTTGCATTTGGCCTGACTGAACATGAGTTACATATTTTAACACGTAAAGTTACATATTTGTACACGCAAATGTTAATATGTTAAAATTACATAGGCAATATTGGTCTCATTTGAAAGATCATGAAAAATAAAAAATGTTGATATAAATTTTATAAAAATCGGATCAAAAATAAAAAAGTTATTACCATTTTAAAAAAAGAGAGAAATAAAAAATTATGAGGCCAACTGCTAGAACTACGTCGTATTGGTGGCGGGTGTACTATGCTCATAGGGGGACGGTGGTATGGTATACGAACTGTACCTCTTCTCTCCCCGCTTTCAAGTTTCAACTATCCTTTATGTTCTTTTTTGCTTCAAAATTGCTCCACCTCAAAGGCTCAAACTAGAATATTTCAGAATTTCAAAATTAAAATGTATTTCCATATCACTAATTAGTTCTCTTACCTTAAAACTTTTTAGGTTACTAGTATCTTTACCCGTGCCGTGCACGGGATAAAATGATATTACTTGTTAATATTACTAACGCAAAATCACTTATGTAACTGATTATAATTTTTCTTTCAAAATTCATATTCTAATTTATTGAGTATGCCTTATTTTTGAACTAATTATCTAAACATGTTTTCAGTCTATATTTTCCAATGAAAAGAACATATTTTTTTTGAGTTTTTCCCTAAAATATTAGTAATAAAATAGTCATGGACAAAAATGTTACTTGGTAACTTTTAGTGACTATAACTGTATTCACAACTTATATCACAGTCACTACATAGTAACTTTGAACACAATTGTAGTCACTAAAAGTTACCTACTCCCACTTTTTTCCACCACTTTTCCAGGAGTAATTTTAGTGGAATGTTTTCTATACTTTTTATAACTCTCAATTGCATCGAATTGAAATTAATATATTTTTACCTAAGCAAAAAAGAAAATACTCAATACCTATTTTTATTCATTTAATTTCATGTGTGGCTTATTGTTTTGTTCAAAATTAACTACACATTTTGGTAATTTATTTATCTAAAAATGGGTGTAGTCGTTTTTAGGATATCAGCCCTTCTAGGTTTTAGACATTTTCAAATTAGTCTTTTGATCTCTTTCTTTAAGAAAAGAGTTTAAAATATATAATTTTGTGACATTTTGATTTTAATGAAGGCGATGGTGGTGACAATAGGCTGCATATTGTAATTGAAAGCGATCTATTTATTTTTCATTTGATTGAGGTTATTGACGGTATATAAGATCTTATTAAGTAAAATAACTGTTATTGAACGAAGAAAGGTTGCAACCTTACGACTTTTAATAAACAATTTTTACCTAGAATGTCAGATGAATAAAATCTATAAAAAAAATTATCATCACATCAAGAGATAACTATAATCGAAACATAAACGTGTCAAAACATGCAATGAAAAATAAAAAGACAAATACCGCATATTCAGAAACGAAAAATGATCTCAATTTTCATGACGAGATAATATTATATTAAAGTTACATCCATGAATAAAAGAATTACCAAGTACCTTTTATAAAAAGTCATGTTTATTTATCTAGCCCTTAAACACCACTTTTAGTGTCACGATAAGATTGTTGTAAACTACGTATGTAATTAGTACAACTTTCCGAGAGCTACAGCTCTTGGGCAAAATATACCAAGATTATATTAATATATACGCTACAGTAAAAGTAACTTCAACTTTCATAAATAAGATAAAAAAAATTGGTTCCAATTGAAAATACCCTTAATTAGAAAGGTGAACATTTTACCTGTGTCATTGTGTGGTTTGGTTTTTATTCTACCTAGATTTATTTACATCCTGTGAAAGTTAATTTTTATTTCGATGTATCATGAGCATTGTGATGATTTTTCATTTTCAAAATTAGGGGCAAATTTGTTTGTGTTTTAAATATTTCTATTGCATAAATTTGAGATAACATTAAGACAAATTTGTATTTAACAAATTTTAACACATGTAGTCTTGCTATTAAACACATTTTACCTTTGTTTTTATACATTGACTTGTACCATTAAATGAAATCATTTCATAAACTCGTACATGAATAAAATTCCTATTCATGATTGTCGAGTCCATGATATGTTTTTCTCAATGAGATCGTTATCAAGAAAGTAGTTTTTGTGGTTTCTTGTATGATTTTTAAAATCACATTTTGCATTTTAGTACCAAATCACGTGTCATCATCTCAATTTTTAAAATTTACTAATGCATACTTTTAAAATATGAATGATTAACCTCATAATAAGCTTATTAATTCCAACTCTTGCTCGTGAACACTTTAAGTAGATTAATCTAATATATATAGAGTTCTAAATTTTAGGAAGGACTCCACTAAAAACGTTTTTAATTGGACCATTTTTTTGTTTGATTTATTTGTTCCGATCGAATATGGTCCGACCTGTATGATCTGATTTGGTCAACTCATATTATCCAAGATATTTTTTTAGCTCTTTTTTATCTGTACTCCAATTCTTACAAAAAATGTATCAAAATTCATAACTTTTTATTATCTTTCATATGACACAAATATTGAATATATATAAAAAATTAACACTCTAAAACATATGTTTTTTAAGTGTTGTAACATTTTTATTTGTAACACTGTAAAAATAATTCTCATATTTATTTTAATGTGGTACTATCTCGGTCCACCAATAACATTGGGATGGAAAACTTTTGCCGTGTGTCATCTTCTAAACAAATATTCATGATAATATTTTTTATTCTCTTTCCCATTAAGTTAGATTAGTATTGCATTACGTTAATTAATAATTAATTCAGTACCAAGCTACTACGGAGTATGTTGGAATTCTAAGCAAATACACAACCTATAACCCCAAGAACAAAAATGAATCATTCTATTTTTAAATTTGATATAACTTTTTCATCTGTAATTTAATTTTATAAAAAATATATCAAAATTTGTGATTATTTATTATCTTTCATATGACACCAATATTGCATATGTAAAAATAAAAAGAATTTTTTCAATATTGGTGTCAAAGATAATAAAAAGTTATGAATTTTGATACAGAGTATAATTTTTGTAACAATTAGAGTACAATAAAAAAGACACACTTTAAGAAAACAGATATTTTTAAAGCGAATAATTATTGGTTTATTTTTATATATTCAATATTGGTGTCATATGAAAGATAATAAAAAGTTATGAATTTTGATATATTTTTTGTAGAAATCAGATTACAAATATAAAAGTTATATCACTTTAAAATAATCATAAGATTTTATTTTTAAAAGGATATTGTATTAACTATATTAAAACTAAAAGGAGATACACGAAGGAGTAATAAGACATCCTAATTAAGATGGAATAGCCGAATAGCTAATTTTAAGGAAAATTTATTACGTACTATTAATTAGGAAGAGAATTAGAACAAATTGTTGAGAAGATGTATATCTTGGATGTGTATCTTGAAGCTATTAAATCTTTTTTCTTGGCAGTTGGTGTCTAATTTAAACCGTTATGTTTTTGTTAAGTTTAAAGTTAATGTTTGCACTTGAATATTTTTGTGATATTTGATCATTGGGGTATCATGTATGCATAGTGCAATATAATGGTCATAATTTCAATAATTATTTTCATGCTTTGAAATTTAAATTTTTTATGTAACTGAAGGTAAAATGTGTTCATTTTAGGAGAATAATAATTTTTTATAAGGAACCGAAAAAAGGGTGAGAGCCGAATTGAATTTAACTAGTACTGCACCAAATTTAACAACTACATTTTTTCTAGAACCGAATTCAGCGCCTATAATTTTTAATACGGTTCCATCGAATTTTAACCAAAATCGAATCGATATGATGCCTAGAACATACTAGGTATTAGGATGTTTTTGCTTGGATTATTTTCATTCCCAGATTAGACCAGACTTAAACAGCACAAATCAAACCAGAGTAGACTTAAACAGACCAGACCAGATCAGTCTAGTCTTGCATAGTTATAAAATACACTGAGACCGGACATTTACCATACCATACCAGTTATGACCAAATCAGACCAGACATAAACAATTCAAACCGGATCAGACAAACAAATTTCAATCCAAGCAAAGATATCCTTACACCTATTTAGAAGAAAAGTATATCAATCTATCTCAAGCGCTTTTAATCAAACGCTTCCTGTTAAAAAAATCCTTACATATGACCAAAACATAAACAAAGTGCATATGTTGAACTGCCATTGTTTTCTTCCTGAACTAATATATAGTGAAAAAAACTATAAATGATACTTCCTAACCTAATTATACTTCTTTTCTATAAAAAAAACCTAATTATACTTCTACCAAAACATAGTGTACG